CATGTGCTTTTTGGTAGAGACTTAGTTCTTTCTTTTCTCAAAAGAAACACTCAAAAGTTGAAGTTTTTCCAGTGGCTCTACATCCCACAGCAAAAGCTTTTAGATTGGCATTGCTTCAAGAAACCTTATTCAAGATTTGTGACAAATGCACCTTATGACATCTTCTTTATCTTCCCCTTGCCTTATTACAGATTTCTTTGTACAGGACCCAGAATTCAAAAGGGTTGTTCCACGGCAAGTATGGAAAGCTCTCTTTTTCATCTCAGCTGATACCTATAACTTCTGCTCTGTTCCCACGAAGTCTGTTTCAAAGTGTTGATACTAACAGGCTGCATTATTCTTTCACCAGAGGTGGTTACAGTCTGGCTCTCTTATCACACCACCATGGATAAATTAGCTGTTATATAGGAGAAAGTGCATCCTTTAAGCTAACATTTGATGCTGAAGGTGAGAAGCTATAACATGATGCAAAAAGTTAAAACTTATTGAGAAATGTGTAGTAAAGATATACTGACACTATACACACAGAATGGCCCCACTATTTAGCTCTATGTTTGGGATTCAAGCTGATAGTTAAAGCAGCAGGCAAAAACCTCCAGGAGATGAGCAAAGTGCAGCCCTCAAATATTGCACCTATTCACACCACACATTTCTAGCATTATGATCCCACTCTAACCTTCATGCCTCAACAAACTGCAAACCACTTGGCAATTCAAGTGCAGTATAGGATGCTTTAGGCTATATTTCAGAGGCCACAGTGGGGGAAAACATCTTGCCAAAAGAACCTATGAAATTCATAGGGCCACCATAAATGACAAGCAAGCTGAAGGCACACACACATATACATACACAGGCTATAATTTTATAGTATGGATGAGCTCTTAGTTGGATTCCAACTGCCAACATTCCTCACCACTTGTGCTGGTAGGACGGATGGGAGATGTAGTTCAAGCAAATCCAAAGAGCTATATTTTAATGCTGGGATCATTAGGAGAGCTACCCCTGCTAAAAAAGCAACCCCTTTTACCCATATTTTCTTGAACAGCCAACAATTTATGTCTGTCTTCACTCACCCGTCATAGGATGCATCCCATTCCCAGGCTGATCATAAGCATTGTGCCAATTTCTAATTAGGACATGCATCCTTCAACTCCCTATGCATTCTATGTGTTTTGTCAAGCCACCCAGCACTGCTTCCCAGACTCCTTTCTTCATTCCATTGTCTACTGGACATCCCTCAGGCCTCCTATTCACTGCCCTATTTTACAGTTCTGAATCTAGGTAACAGACCTCACAACCTCTGAGGATGCCTGCCATAGATGCAGGCAAAACGCCAGGAGAGAATGCTTCTGGAACATGGCCATACAGCCTGAAAAGTTTACAGCAACCCAGATTATCTGCTTTGAACTGGATTGTATGACAGCATAGACTCATAAAATTCAGTTCAAAGCAGATACTCTGGATTTAGACAGTGGATTATATGGCAGTGTGGATCCAGCCTCATAATGCAGATTGAACTGTTTTGAACTGGATTATATGAGTCTACACTGCCATATAATCCAGTTCAATGCACATAATCTGCATTCTAACACTGCATTATACGGTAGTGTAGATGGAGCTTCACTTAGCTTTTTTTGTCTTTGGCCCTTTCCACAATGCCATATACAATTCATTCAACTAGACTCATAATCCAGTTCAAAGCAGATAATGTAGATTGTTGGATTTGATTATCTGGATTGTGTGGCAGTGTAGAAAGGGCCTTTGCCTTCTGATTCAATGACTACTCTATATCCCCAGGGATATCCTGGTAGTTCTCAAACTGTTAACAATCTCAAATACGGATCTTGCTCAGTAACTAAATATTTACATGCTCAGTCAATGACAGAGACTTCACTACCAGTGGCACAGTAAATGGCACAGAATTCAATGCTGAACCAGACTATTTATAATTCTCTATGAGGATAAGCCCAATTAAACTTACCAGGACTTGATCCTAAACAAATGATCATGAGATCAGGCTGTTAAAACTCTAAAGGACTTTTTCTATTACACATTTTCCCAACTGAAGGATGAGCCTCACAATATTTTTCATGATTGCATACATATGGAAAAGTGTTTATGTGAATACCTCACCTATAGGGAAGTATTTGCTTGAAAAAAATCCTCAGAAAGCTACCTTGTACAATGTTCAACAGCTTGTGTTTATGGTTTGTGAAATCACCTTATGGCTTCATTGTGCTTTTTAGTTCTCTTTTGGTGCCTTTCACAAACACTCACCGGAAACCTAAATGCAGGATTTTTGCAAGCTTATAGTTGTGGTGAATGTATGTACAGTCTCCAGAGAGGATGTAGGCTGAAATCTCCACAGATGATAGATAACTGGAGATCAGAGAGCAAGGCATAGGAGACTTGGTGGGATGGTCTACAGGGTCAAAGACATATAACACCCTGGAGTGGAATAGCAAAGGAAGTCGCGGCACATGGGAGACCACACTTTGTGATAGCAACAGCAGATTTGCTTTCAAAATAGAGCCCACACTAAGTGGGAATTCATTCATCTATGGTTTATTTCTGAACCGCTTTGCTGCTTTTGCTGCTTCTCCTTCTCTATCGTCAACAACTTCTAGCAATGTCAGTCTACTTCATAAAAGAGTAATGGTCTATTAAAATGGATTGTATTATGCAAGAACCTTTTGCTACAATGCATCCATTCATCTCCAAGAAGGGATGAACTTCTTTTGTTTTTGTTTTAATAAAAAAGAAAGCTCAATTTCCCCACTTGTATACACAGACACAAGGGTTATCTACGTTTTCTTATCCCAAGAGATGACAAAACAAAATGAAATCAGACGTTTTTCATGTTTGGTTTCCACTGGCTGTCCACTTGCTTTCTACAGTGATATTATTCTATATTAGCTGAAGAACAGATTTTCTGATTTTTAAAAGGAATTTCTGAAAAAGAATACTTTTTGAAACTTCTTTTTCTGAAGCATTCTAATAAAGATATGCGTAAGTTCTTTTAAAATGTATTATGTTCTATGATCTGGTTGATAACCTAAAATGGTGACTCCTCCCCTTTCTTGTCTAGAATATGGTTATTATTTAACATGACTCAATTCAGAAGAATTACTTGAAATAAATCAATATTACTTCTTTTAGAGTTTTTTTCGTGTCAGGAGCGACTTGAGAAACTGTAAGTTGCTTCTGGTGTGAGATAATTGGCTGTCTGCAATGATGTTGCCCAGGGGATGCCCAGATATTTTGATGTTTTTCCATCCTTGTGGGAAGCTTTTCTCATGGGAACTGGAGCTGACAGAGGGAGCTGACAGAGGGAGCTCAACCTGCTCCCTGGATTTGAACTGTCCTGCCGGCACGAGGGTTTAACCCATTGTGCCATCAGGGGCTCCACTTCTCTTAGGTGTAAAATTTAAATGTAAAAAGACTCCATGAAGTGGGATGCAATCATTCTTCCAGCAAAGAGTGCTTCTGTTTGTATATTGGTTGCATGCATTTTCCCCTTCTTATAGCAGGTTTTTTCACATCATATTACTCTCCAATGATCCTTGACCCGGTTGGCGAAAGCATTTAAGTAGCTGTGGATATCTAACACTGTAACAGACCAATATTATCTGGGGTCCTATACAATTCCAGTAGTGTGATTCCACTTTATCTGCCATTACAACATTCTATGGAATCCTGGGGAGTCTAGTACCAGAGACTAGTGCCTCTGCATTGTAGAGTTCATACAGTTTGACACGACTTAAACTGCCATGCCTTAAGGAACCAAGCTGCAACTCCCATGATTGAACCATGACAAGGGGTGTCAAACTACATTGCTCCTACAGAAATCCCCTTCCCGGGGATTCTAAATGTCCTACCCGAAACTATTTACTATCTAGATGTGAATACTTTTCAATTAACTCCCTCTCTGCAAGCCTAGAAATTTGGGACTGAACACAAATTTTGTGAGGCAGAATTTTTAAGGGGGGGGGCACAGTCCTCATTTTGCCCCTTGAAGCTACATCCCTATCTGTTTTTTGCTGCTGCAACTCTTTGAGGCCCACTCATAGTTCCAGCAGTTTATAGAATAGGATGGGTTGGAGAAGAGGGATTAGAGATGAAACCAGCAAGATTCACCTTTTCCATTTTCTTACAATAGAAGCTTCTGTGAGATTGTTGACTCTTCCACAAATGGGAGGAAATCTTATGTCCATGGAAAGGCAGGTCTGGTGGGTCTAATTCCATGGATATATTGTAGGCATTTTAAAATGTCAGTTGAACACTACAGAATCTTAATTTATCCCCCACCCTCTTTTTGGTGGCCCGTCAACATTTAAGCATACAGTTATCCTTCCCTATTCATGAATTTCGCATCTACAGATTCAACCACCATAGCAAATATTTATAAGAATGACAGAATTTTCTACATCATTTTATATAATGGGGCATGAGCATCTACAGATTTTGGCATCCACAAGGGATGAGGAATGAGTGTCAGGTCCTAAAACAAAATTACAGCAGATATCAAGGGCCCACTGTATTTTTCTTCAAGTAAACTTTTATCTTGGTTGCTGTTGGTTGAATTTATTTTATTTGTCTCACTGATTTCTTTTTCTAATGCTGTGATTAGCTTGGAAATCCTCTTTAATGATGTGGTTTACTGCTATTTTTATCTTTAATAAGGTTGCTTGGATTTTGTTAGTCCTTTTTTTGGCAGCAGAATGCAAGGTAGAGATCTTAGTACATATAAACAAAACAGATGGCTAAATAAATAAAATCATCATGTACTATTCCATGAATTTATTTGGTGTCATTTGAGGATGAAAACAAAATAATAATTCTAGAACTACTTACATAACAACAAAACAGGATATAGCTATCTAGTGTCTGTCAACCAGGAAAACAGTGAATTGAGAGACCGGGAAGTCCCACTGTGCAAGCTGATCTCAGCTTGTGTGACACGAGATGACACTCATTATTTACGAACAATCTATACTCACTGTAAAGGAGAGTTCCATTTAAAGCATTTGTCTTCACTGTCAAGTAGATCGTCATTCTGCTCCATTCCTGTCCTGTTGCGAATCCATCCTCAGACAGAGATGTTAACGAAGGTAGTTCTAAATAAGAATCCGGACTGAATGATGGAAAGAACAGTGTAGTGTCTGTGAGAACAACAATAAAAAGTCAGCTTAGTATTAAATGAATCTTCATGAGTAATACATGACATACAAAAAATAATCAGACGGAGGTCCAGAAGCTAGAGGACAGTGGGGGAAACCATGGGGCAGTACACAGCTTTGTCCCCTTATCATGATTGGTCATGGGTTGCCATCCTATATTGTTTTTCAGCTGTCACTGGTTTTCTCCCAGCTTCACCAACATGCTGCCAGCATGTTGCCAGAGCAGTGCCCAATGGAGCCCCCACTGGAAGTAGCCCTGTGTCATATGATGGGCTCCAGTAAAGTCCATCCTGGCAGTGTGCTGGCAGTGCGCTAGGACAAGGAAGAAACCCTGTCTCATGAAGTTGACAAGAAAGAGAGAGAGAGAGAGAGAACCAAAGCCAACCATTTCTCTCTGAAAACTACATTAGGACCCCTGTCTCCTAACTCCTTGAAAGATTGACAAGAAAGTCTACAAACAGAGAAGTACAAACAGAGAAGTTAGAATGGGGTCCTTTAGTTTATTTTTCTGGCCCAACTACATGCAACATTGACCGAGTCATTTGGAATAATATTGGCTATTTCTCTTTATTTAATTATTGGTGTGTGGTATAATAACTCAGAAGTGGCGTCTGGACAGGGGGAACAATCAAAGAAATCCCACCGCTGTCCCTTCCTTCAATAAGGAATT